CTGAACCTATTTTACAATACATTGCAAGGACTAATGGGAAACTGTTCTTATCTGTGCTGTACTGAATGCCTGTCTGTGGTCTGATGGTGATGTTATCTCATGAAATCTTGCCTGTTGCATCCAGTTTGGTCTTGCAAGTGAATTGGCTATGTTTTGGGGGAAGGTAGGTTGCTTCTCCCTTAATTTCCTGCTTGCTTTGTCAGGGTGAGACTATTGGCAATGACTGGATCATCGACTGGGAACACTGCAGGACAGGTGCATCTTTTTTTACCTTGCTGCTTCTCTCTTCCTAACTCTCACCCCCTAAACTGGAGGAATGTGTTGCAAGCAAATGTGTTGCACCTGATTATTTTTTAAAAATCTTTAAGCCATGTGGGGGTACTCTTCAAGGAAACTCTAAGCAGGTCACACGCATTATTCAGGTAAAGCAACATGATTCAGCTTTGGAAACAGTCTGCCCGGAGAAATGGAAGAGGTGAGCCTCTTTCCTGACTGATGTTACCAGGTTTGTTACTAGAAAGGGGGCGTTGCAGGGATGGTGAGATTTGTATATTCAAAGCAATTACTAGATAAGCACAAATGTCTGTCTCTTCATGTTATGTAGGGTGGGAAGCTTGTGAAATACCAGAAGCCAAACAGTCGGGAGCTTGAATGAGAGACCTCAACAGGGAAAACAAGTTCCTGTCATAAATTGAGCTAGTGACTCAACAATTGGTGCTCTTTAATTTTTTTTGAGCCTTCATTGAGCCAGTGCTCCTGTCAATGCACTGAGATTTGGTCATTTGGATGAGAAATAAACTGGGCGCTTGACCACTTGTGGTCTTGGCTACATTCTAGTTTGCTTAATTACATTCTGGCCTAAATTCCCCCTGAGGTGACACCTTCTGTTGTCCTGTTCCTAGGCTATTGCAAAGTTAGATAAATATACGTGGGTATGATGCATGTGTCAGTGTTGGATGCATTTAAGTGGTGAAAAAATTAATTCTAACTGTGTTTAATTTGTAGGGAGGAGAGGGGGCCAAAAGTTGGTCTATACAGATATTCTTGTGATGAGATTTTTCCTGTGTTTTACAAACATTGGGAGTGTAAAAGAAAATATGCTAAAGAAGTAAAGTAGCCTCATCTGCAGTTACAGCTAAATGAGAAACGTTCACACAAGGTTTTAATGCATGTCAACCTATACACATTGTCTTTGCACCTTTGGTTGATAGTCTAACTTTCTTGATCATCCCTGGGTAGATGCGGCTTAAGAGATCATGGATTGATAATGAAGCCATAGTGGTAAGGACAGGGTACTTTCAACTGAAAAAGCTACATGCTACTTAGGAGTTCAGGGTGGAGTTACACTATTGTAATGTGTAAATGGTGAATTTAAATGCCAGCACCTTGTAGAAGTTTACAGTAATAATTGTTTCAAAGACTGGCAGAAATTTACTCAACATGCAAGAACTCTGGGTAGGGATCTTTTGGAGCAGGAAATAGCTCCTTCCTATTTAAGACATAAATGCAAAAGTACTAGTTTTGGCCTTACATATGTAAGAAAGAATGAAATGTATTTGGGGAGGAATTAAAACACAGAGTACTTGAAAAGCTACTTAAGTGAACAAAGGGCATGAGAGAGAAACACTGGCTGAGAATGAAGAGCTGTTTGTTAATGCACTCTAAGTTCTGAGAGTTTTACAAGTTGAACTTTGCAATTTAATAGCCCTGGTTTAAAAAAAAAAAAGTTTTAAATAAGACTAGGATATACTGTCTTGGGTCTGTTTCAATTTCTTCCCTTCCAGGTGGGGAATACCCCACTCATGGAGATGAAACTTTTTTCCAAGCCTCTCACTCTGACAGGGTTGTTGGTTATAGCCGTGTTGGTCTAAGGACGTAGATAAACAAGGTTCTTTGCATAAAAGTGATCTTATATTAGACCAACTAAATAGTTGGAAAAATTTGTTCTTTGCAAGCTTTTGGGCACACACTTGTACCTGAAAGCGTGCAAAGAAAATTTGTGCCTGGAAGCTTGCAAAGAACAATTTTTCCAACTATTTAGTTGGTTTAATAAAAGATGTATCACATTTATGCAAATAACCTTGTCTGTCACTCTGGCAATATTTTGTAGCCGTGTATCTTCTAGTGGCATATAAAGAAGAGGTATTGAGGAGGGTGGCTGGCTTTCTCACTTTTGGACCCAGTCCTCTAAAGTCTTCTAAATTCTTTTGGAAGCTAGAACTCCAACAACTATGGCCAGCATAGTACATGGAGTCTTGCTCCCCAATTTACTGTTCGGTCGTGGACCCCTTAAAAGTATGTGGCCTTTAAAAGGCAGTTATATGGGACTTCTGTCTTCTGTGATTAAATCACTTTCTTCATTGCTTAACGTAGTCTAAGATGGTAATTTATGCACCCTGACAAGGCGATAGTGGTGGGCTGGAATTGCTGAAATATCAAATATAACATCTTGGAAACGGGTCATAGAGTTTCTTTTTGCTTTAGCTGCATGTCAAGAATAGGCGTGTTGCATTTCCTGAATGAAATGTGCATCTTGGGACTTAGAAAATGTGTGAAGAAGGATCCTAGCAATGGCAGGCAGCTGTAAAGAACCTATTAGATTCATGTTAGGTTTCATTAAGATAAATATGCTACAACCATGACACCTTTCACGGAAGAATCTCAAAGTCTTTATAACCCTTCTCATGTACATAAACAGTGTACCACCCATTTTACAGATGAGTGAACTAAGTGATCCAAGCCAAGGTCATACAACTGATTAGTGACTGTATGAGAGCTGGAACTCGTAAGTCTAGTACTGGAAGTTTGAACTTATTAAATTGTAGTCCTGGCTCCATTCTGCAGCTGGTTAGTAACTAATACATTGAGTAGTTAGTAAAGTGGGGGCCCTTTTACTTGAATCCATGGCAAATTAAGTCCCGAATTGCATTCTGCTCCCTATATGCAGCTAAAATGCCAGAGCAATTTTAGCTTCAATTAGGTGACGCTAAAATCCTGTTAGTACTTCTTACTAATCCCTTTTTTACTGTTGTACAAATGGTAAAAAAATCGTCCTTTGCATCCTTAGCTCTAAAAGAAGAGAAGCACATATGATGTTGCCACTGGCTTATTATCCTATATTTAACATAGCCATGATTACATAGAGATCTACAAGTGGGTAGGGTCTGATAAGCAGTTCAAGTTCTCTGCATAGAAATAGTACTAAAATAGTTTCAGTGTTGTTTCTAATTGCAACGGATGAGCAGCCTGGCTCATTAATCCTCCCCTATCAGCAGTACATAACTTGTCTGCACCAGAATAGCCCTGATCTCAGCAATCCTGCATTCAGCCTTGAGCTTGGGTTTTCGACGTATTTGGAAAAGGCAAGCTTCAACAGCGGGACCAAAGGGACTTTAATTCAGCTGAGCTGGCTTTATATGGCTGAGACCACACAGAACCCATAGAGGTTTGTGCCATTTTTCAATAATAAGTGAATGCAAAAGTTTGTGTATTTTTGATGAACTTTACAGTGCATTAGTGAGCAACAATGCCACGTGCCCTTTGACAAGTCCTCACAGAACAGACATGCTCTGAAGGCAAGCTTGCTCCCACACTACCTCACCAGAAGTGAGCAAGACCTGTTGTCTCTATGGGTGGATGAGTGATTAGACGCCCTGAACTACTTGGTGTTTGGGTCAGTCTACTGAAGCAGCCAACCTTTGTGCCGATTACTGTCAGCTATAGCAGTGCAGGGACCTGCCTACTGAGCCCATCAGGGCTATTTTCGCCATTTTACATTGTTTAATTCCTCAGCTTTTAAATGTACACAATAGGGGAAGGGGCAAAATGTTGACATACTATTGTTTTCCTGGGGAACACTGCAAAACTTGTTATAAAACAACAGGTTGCATGGAGGAAATGACAACTGTTGTTCAGGGGTGAAATATTCATTCCTCTGCTGTCCCTAAAAACATAGCTTGTATCTATGTTAAGTAAATCAGTGGGACTTACTCTCCTTGGTGGCCACTATAGGGGCTTTTGAAAATGTTACTCAACTTTAATAATGCATATTGCTTATATGGAACTTCTGAGATGTATATCTCAAAGCAATTAATGGTACAAGGTGTATGATCCCTCTCTGATATATGGGGAAATGGAAACATAAAAGCCAAATGACATTTCCTAGCCCAAACAGTGCTCATATAAATTCTCAGGGGATATATAAAGTTCCTGCATGTTCTGACTCGGGCAAAAGACATTAGTTAAAATAAGGATAGATCTGGTAGGGAAGCTATAGCTTCAACAACCCTGATCTCACTTCTGAATAGCAAAATAAGAACTTAGATTTTGAGGCCCCAAGTGCTTATAGCTTCCTTTATGCTGTGTATCTTGTAGCAGGAGACCTGGCCCCTGGGGCAGGTTAATGCCCATTGAAGGCTATGAATATTTTTCCTGGGCTAATTTCTTCATGTGAGGTGTACAGCTCCCATTCACGTAAAACACAGATAAGCAAGATCCTCCTAAAGCACTCCTCCTAAGTCAGTAGCTATCCACCCACAGCAATCCTTTCTTTTGCAATTCTGCTTTCTGTTAGCTACCCTTGATAATGTAGCTCCTATTTCACAGCCCTGCAGACAGCTTTTAACTTGAGCTAAATATATTAACGCAGGTGTGGAAACAGAAACTCAGGTGTCAACATGCTCAAGGCAGGGACAGAAGTTGCACAAAAACTGGTTTAAGTGATCAGAAACTGGTTTAAATCTGTAACAGAACAGAAGTTCAGTGTATATAAGTCCGTTTCAAAATGGCTGAAACTGGTTTAAGATAAACCTGGTTAAATGTAGTATCATAATTAGCTGATTTGGGTCACCCCAGTTTATGAAACTTCTGTCCCAGACCCCTTCCTGGTTCAAGTTAAATTTGAGTCCCCCAGCATGCTTTGCAACCCTCAGCTGGGCTGTGTTTTCTGCTGCAGAGAGCAGACCTGGCCCCAGCTCTCTGCTCCTTAGCTGGAGCATTGAGGGATGGCTCACTTTCCCCCATCCCGGCAAGCCCCAGCTGGGGTCTGGGGCCAGGGTGGGGTTAAACCCCTGAGTACAGGGCTGCTCTGCTCTGCTGGCTTGTTTGCTGCTGGTTGCAGCTGTGGACTACAAATCCCAGAGGCACCTGGAAGTAGGAAGAGGAAGTGATGAGCAACCCGACAGAGTCCTACTACTGTAATTATGGACTGCAAACCCAAGAGACCTCAGGGAAAGCAAGAAGAGGAAGCAAACACAGCCCATGCTGGCTATGTGCCAGAGAGCTGTGCTGTAGTGCCCCCTCCACCACCCCAGCTTCTGGCTTGAGCCACTGCAGGCAAGTAGCTGTATTTCCTGAATCAGAAGTGAATGTCTGTTCATTTGCTTATTGGTTCAATCTTTGTAGCTTAGACTAACCTGGAAAGACTGAATCAATTGAGCCTCAGGCTTTTTGACTGTCTGTACTTGGCTCAAGAGGGCTAGGTTGTGTCATATGAATAACTAGTAGGGTGAAAGTACTAGGCTTTAGGAAAGCTGATTTCAATGATCTCAGGCGTTTAGTCAAGGACACACTGCAGAATAAGAGTTTTGAAGAGATGGGAGGCCAGGAAGGGTGGCTGTGCCTTAAGGAAATGATCTTTCAGGCACAGAGGGAGACGATCCCGATGCGGGGAAAAAGGGGGAAAGGGGCCAAGAGGCTTCCTTGGCTGACCAGAGAAATCCAGGGCAGCCTATGGGCAAAAAGGGGGGCATATAAAAAGTGGAAATGGGGAGAGATTAC